ACTCGCGGTGGAAATCCACAAGTGATCCAGTATTGGATTTTGGCAAAACCTGGAGAGGCTGGAGGAAATGAATGCTTCAACACTGGAAGGAGGGAAATAACAACAACACTGAGAAAAAAATTACCGAGCATAGACTTGCCGGATAACTAAGAGCTTTATTCCAAAGAGGAGAATTTATACTGATGCAGATTGAAAGCCTGAAAAGGGAGATTAGTGGTGTAGATCCACATGCAAATATATTGGTAGAAGCAATGATACGGGATACACAGCAGCCATAATTGTCCCAGACCAACTGGGGTAGGCAAACAGATCAGACATAGTTGCTGTAGGAAAGAAGACAAAACAAGACTATGTTGTGATGGTTCTCGGGATACCCAGGACTCTGAGTCACCTTGTTACCCCGCTTCCTCCAGCATGAGGGAGTCCTGCTTGTGATTAATTGGGTGTCAGCTCCCTGATACAACCAGCCTGTTAGCCACTCAAATACTCTCCTCTGGGCTATGCCAGCCCTTACTTCACCTTGCAGGCTAACAAACCATGCACCCCAGTTCCTGAGTGCTTTTGAAGAATTCACTTTTCTGTTCTGCCCCTTATCCACTGTATGCTCACAGAAATACCAAAAATCCCAAAAGGAACAGTATACATACAGCCTTGTATGAATCAGCTCAGAAACAGCACCTAGATATATTTATAGCGGAAACAAGAATAAGTTTATCATCAAAAATTCAAAATTAATGTGATAGTGAGTAAGAATACTGGAAACAAAATCACAGACTAAACTTAGCTATCAAGTTAACCTCGTGTCTAAAGAAGTTTATCCCCAAAGGCCTCTACACTACAGTGTTTCAACTATGGCTGGCTGAGATCCCACTTTCAGAAATGTAAATACACTGTCTGTTTACCTCCTCATTACAGGATAAGGGGGTGTTGTCTTTGCCTTCTACTTGTACTCCTAAAGTTCATTGTTTCTACTCAGAGATAAGATAATCACCTGGGGCTTATTTTTTCTGTGTGCTCCTTTCCTGTTAACTTCACATCTCTTTGTTGACTTTTTATGTAAATGTGTAGCCATTGTTGTAGCGGGTCAATTTATGTCCCCACGGAGAGACAGGTGAATAAACATCTCTTGTGTGACAGAAAACCTGCTTTGTCTCCTCTGCTGGTGACTCAGACCTTGACACAAACTCTAAGAACATATTTTCATTACATATACATAACTCCTTACATAGCATCTGTGCATAGCTTTCACAACAATATTAATGACCATGTGACCCTCTTTCATTTGAGACCTCACGTGACATTCTTTGGTGAACCAGAATGTATGGACCAGGATCAGGACATTGCTGTAAACTCCTTGCCAGTAAGCATTAAAGAGTTCTTGAGTCACATGTGTTCATTGATACTGTCATACCAGCAGACAGAAACATAAAAAAGAAACAAGAAGACAAGATAACAAGTATGAAGAACTCTGGCCCAAAGTGAAAAGATTATGGAAAACTAGAACAAAAGTGATTACTGGAGAACTTGGAGTGGATGATCCTTAAGGGTATGAATGAGCAGCTCAAAAACACTTTAGGAGCACAAGACATCATGAACAGTGAGCTCCAGAAGACAGCACTCTTAGGCACTGCAAGCATTTCAAGGAAAGTCAAAGGAGAATGAGTGCATTTAAGTACCCAAAATCCAGGAATTCTGCAGAGGGTTTAACAAAACTCCTAAGTATCTAAACCCACAGAGTCGTTCATTGTCAGGATTTATTGGTGACTCATGGAGATACATTTTAAACAGTAGTTTTCCTTTTGTTATGCATAAAGATCTTGTATGTTGTTAAGGACATTCGTTTAAAAAAATTCCCATGATGTAATACTGAAGGATAATAATAATTAATAATGAATGACTGCGAGCAATCAGGATGTCAATTTTGACTCATCCAAAAGACATAATAGCATAGGGTATCTTGGATGGTGTGACAGTAGCATGTAGAATAATATTAAGAGCTAACGATATAGCAAAGGAAAACAAACCCAGTGGAAATGCCAAGATTGCTAGGTTGGGCATCACTGATTCATTTATTGACACGACTACTAATTATATGATTAGTCTATTTATAACATGCATTAAAGTATCTTCCTATGATGTGTTTAACCTGAGGGTTGGATATGCTTGTTTATTTCTCCTATGGTATTTTTCAACAAAGGTTACTTTTTAATTGCTAAATTTTGTAGCAATAAAGTCAGGTCCTATGTTCTCGGATAGTCACCTTTTCTAATACATCAGCAAGAAACAGCAGTTTTTCCCAGCCACAAACCACAAAGAGAATCCTCTGGATTCTCAGAATGAAATATCCTAAATTTGGTGTTTGTGGAAAGTCACTTCTCTCCCCATATTGCTTGTACTTTGTAGTTTGTTTTGCTTTTCATTTGCGCTGATTTTCTCATGAACTTGTGTTGTAATGTTTACTATATAAATATTGCAACAGGAAACTTCCTCTCAGTGATCCTTAGAACTAATACCACTATTGCCTTTAATATGCAGAAAAACAACAACCTATTAGGTTTCTTTATACTCTCACTGCTGATGACTGGGTATGGTCTGACATTTGTTTCAGGTTTCTTTCTGTCAAAGGAAACAAGTAATGCCATCTCAAAAGAGGCGAGTTATGTTCTGCTTTGTTTAAAAACATGCCTGTGTATGTGTGGGAGAGAGAAGTGGTGGTTTAGGATTATGAAGGAGGACAAGTACTCAAAGCCTAGGAGTACTCCATGGTAAAATGATAATTTAAAGACAGACTCCAATGGTTTGACAGATTACCTTAGATCCTTAGGTAAACAAATAGTTAAATATTAATGACAGATAAACAAATACTTCAAGAGACAATGTAAATTAAAAATTATATTTCTGTCCAAAAATGGTGTACCTAATGTAGTTTCAAGTAACATGATTACTGTGGCCATGTTTACACAGCAAAGTTCAGTCAACACAAGTTACATCGGTGTACATGGCTGAAATTTGTGTATTGGTCAGACGCGTGCATGCTTGGCTACTTGCATCAGTACTGTGCATACTCACGAGGAGTGCTTGTGTCAATGTAAAGTGCGGTGCACCTTAGGTAGGTATCCTAGTGTGACCTGCAGTGCTTTCTGGTGCAATATCTTTTGGGACATTTTCTCCGTGCTTTGTGGGATAGTAATGAGTTGCCCAGGGATTACTGTAAGAAGTTAGTACAAAAAATAGTTTCCCTTGTTTTTGATTTTTTCAGTTTGCTTGCTTAGAGTCAGATGCAATGTTCATTTAAGACAATGAGAGTTTTTAATTTATATAAATGAATGTTGGATCAAGCCCTTAGTACACCTGACAGCACTTGGTGTGTAGTAAGTTAAGAACATAAGAACAGCCATATTGGGTCATATCAGTGGTCCACCATCTAGCCCAGTATCCTGTCTTCTGACAGTGGCCAATGCCAGGTGCTTCAGAGGGAATGAATACAGGGCAAGCTGAAAAAAACAAGGGAAACTTTTTTTTTACTAACTTCTTAAAGTAATCCCTGAGCGACTCACTACTATCCCACATAATCACTATTTCTTGTAAAGTATCATTTATGCCCCAATTCTGCAAACATTTCAGCATGTGAATAACTTATGCATATTAAAGTGCTTACAGGATTGTAGCCTTTGATTTCAGTGGGGCTTCCAGCAAACTCAGGGGCCTGCTTGAATATATCATCTTTTAGGACTGAAGCCTTATGAAATTGATTCCTTGCTGAACAGATGCTTAAAAAACATCAACAGAGGAACAGAAAAGTCCTTACAATTTTTACAGGATTTTTTTTTAAATATCCAAGTTATACTGCTTAAAAGGGCACTCTAACCTATCATTAGATAGTTTCAAAATAGTCAAGTTGACAGTTTCCCATTTACTCAATTTGGACTGTGAAACTAAATTAGTCTGTTTCGTCATTTTCACTTTCTGGTTTTTGTGTGATTTAGTGGATCATTTAGGGCCTGATTGTGGAAGGGGCTAAGCAGGCACAGATCTCATGAGATGGTTACCTACCACTTCTAAAATCAGGCTATTAACATTTTTCACTATCTAGAAAATGTGGATAATAATACTGACCTACCCTGTGGGATTGTTACGCTATTATTCTTATTATTATTATACTTTATTTATTAGAGTATTTTCCATATTCATAAATACAGATCAGTTATATATGCCTCTATTTTTAAACAAATTTGTGATTAACCTGCATCTACAATGTATATTACATGGAGGTGACACTATTATATTATGTGATTTTCTTTCACCATCATTAGATTGATTTGCATGTTAACATATGAGAAGCATATACCCCTGTACAGTTGAACAGCCATGTGACTGATTTACATACATAAACAAATGAAATTTCGTCTGTGTTTAGCAATATAATTAATTTGCATATGTAAATGAAGTAGGTATTATATCTGTATGCCTCTGTGCTTGATCGGGTGTCATTTGCCTATGTAAACCATATTAATTCATTGGCTGTGATCTTATTATTCGAATAAACGTGCTTAATTTCCCTATGTAAATGTGAAAATATTTCTCTATGCCATGTTCATCTGTTGCATGTACATATGTAAAGGAGAATCATTTATTGATCACATGCCTATTTTAATCCTGTGAATAATTTGCATATGTGAAAGCTGATTTCCATAGGAGAATTATTAATCTGCAACATAAACATATGCAAATTAATTATAGGCATATGACATAATTATTTTGCATACGTAAATAACGTGCCCTTGCGGATCTCCTTCTGCCGCCGTGGAGAGGGTTCCCGGGTGGGGCTCTGTTTGTATTTTTCCTTTAGGTGACGTCACCACGTCTGTGCGGTCACGCAACGCGATGACGTTACAGGTGGCGTGCCCCGCGTGTGGGCGGGACGGAGCGTGCGCAGTGTCTCGGGACTCGCTCCCCTCGTCCCCTCCCCCCCATGCAGCGCTGAGGAGACGGGCGGCGGAGCGGAGCAGGGGAGGCCCGGGGCCTAGCGGAGCGGGCTAGAGCGGCGGCCCCGGCGCCATGGAGGGGATGGACGTGGACCTGGACGCCGAGCTGATGCAGAAGTTCAGCTGCCTGGGCACCACCGACAAGGACGTGCTGATCGGCGAGTTCCAGCGGCTGCTGGGCTTCCAGCTGAGCCCGGCCGGCTGCGCCTTCTTCCTGGACATGACCAACTGGTAAGGGACCGGGCCTGGCCGGGAGCGGGACCGGCGGCGGGCAGGGCCGGGGGGATGGCAGCCGAGCCCTGGGGGAAGGGGAGGGCGGGCTGGGGGGACTGACGGCTGCGCGGGAGACGGGAGGTAAGACGGGCACTGTGGGGAGGGTAGGTCGGGGGAGGGGGTAAGCTGGGCCCTGTGGGGAGGGCAGGCTGGGGACGGGGAGGGGGTAAGCTGGGCCCTGTGGGGAGGGAAAGGAGAGGGTAGGCCAGCTATGGTTGTGTACTCTGTCTGCACCTTTTTCCTGGCCATGATAAGCCTGGAAGACAAGTCCCAGTGTGGGAGAAGCACCTGGGCAGCCTTTTCCCAGCCAGTAAACACAGAGAGAGACACAGAAACTTTTAACTTGGGGATGGCTTTTAGTTTCCTTGAAATCAGGAGGAAAGAGTTTCGCACCACCAGGCAGTCTGCAGGGGGAGTGGTCCTCTGGTGTCGCCCCCTCCCCCCCAGGTTGTTTCTCCTGTCTGTTGAGGATACACAATATTTGGTGTATGTGGGTCCCTCTTCTCTCTGGGGAGCCTGTCTACAGTTGGGTGGGATAGGGCATGGGGAGCTCGGTTTCCCCCTTCCACTTGGATACAGCGCAAGTACTTGTATCTACACTGCTGGAAGGACCAATGAGGCATTAGCACCCTGTCCTGCTGACATCATCTCCCACAGTCCTGCAGGCTTTCCTAGGGTAGGCAATTATAATAAAAAATGTGGCACCCTCTTGTTTCCCCTGCATCTTTTCCAGCACGTTTACTGACTTCGGTAAGAGAAATTACTCCTATGTGCCTTGTAGAGCTCACAAGGCTATGGGAAAGTGAGCTGGAGTCCTGTCTGAACCATCACAACCAAGTCATTGGCTGAATTTCAGTTGTTAGACTTCTTGTCACAGTTAAAACATCAGTGGCAGAAAGATCAAGTTTGACTTACAGATCCAGGTGGCAGCTTGAAAAAAAAGTCCCTCTTACAAAGTGAGCAAACTTTTTTTGGAATCGTTGAAAGGATAAACATGAAAACAGTGTAATATGTAGCCACGCATTTGTCTAGAGCCCTGTTTCACATGACACTGGAGACTGCCTTTTTGGGAAGTGAAGAAAGGGTGAATGATCAGCAAATGCTGGATCCATCTTAAGCTAGTCTCCTGAATCCAGGGAAGGTGTCATGCGAAGAAGTGGTGAGTTTCTTCAGGACAAGTGTGTTCATGACAAAATATTTCCTATGCATATTTTTTGGGACAGTAACATAAATACAAACTGTCTGCAAATAAATACAAATTGTTTCAGAGTAATATTGGCTTTTCCCTGTACATTGCAATTCTCTTGGAAGAATAACTTCATAGGCCAACAGTGTGAACTCAGAAATTATCATGGATGACATAAAGGGATTTTTTTGTGCTTCTGTAATAATTTTGATTTTTTTGTTAGGAAGACACGTTTGTCTTCAGAAATATTACTTGGCCACTTAATACTTTGTGTCACTGCTTCCTTTATAAAATCCTGTTTTCAGGCATGAATAAATCAGTCATAAAACTAACTCTTGGGTGAAACCTGGTGTCAGCAGTTCGGGCACCTGTTTTTATTAATGAATTTTCATCAAAATTAGTCAAGCATTTTTGCCATGAGTTTGAGTTATAAATGTTTTTTTGGATGCTGGCTTGTACTCAGCTCAGACTGTTTCATCTTTGTATGAAAGAAGTTACGTAAACATAAATAACATAAGTAACACATTCTGCATGTAGTCAAATGGTTTTGGGAGTACTGAAAGAAATTTGAAATTTGGTCAATATTTAGGCTGACATTTTCTAATTTGTGTGCCTAAATTCACATCCTTAATGTTGTTTGTAGTATGTGAATTTAGTAAAAAGGGATTGGAACTGATGCTGATGGGGTCTTATCGATTGGAAAATGTAAGGAGGAAAATGTTAATTAATTTGAACGTAGTACAACCGATCCATGGAATATGGCTCCAGTTTCTCGTGTATCCCCCTTTAAGTGAATGTAGTGGCTATGAAAGTGAGGGATTTTAACAGCATTGCCTTGAACCAAGTGTGCTGACAGGTGCTATGGAAACTTCCCTCGTGTAACCTTACCAGTGTGCTACAATCCTGATCTGCAGCATCGTTTGCTATGCCAGACCCAGGACACCCCACAGCTCTGCCAGTGCACCTCAGTCCAAATCTGCAGCACCCTGACTGTTGGTCATGAACCTATAATGGGCAAATACAGCCTACTGTAGGTATCTGGGGTACTAGCGTGGAACGGCCAAACCCCTTTTTGCTTGTGACCTAGGCCATAATTTGAACCAGCTTTCTTTAAAGGAAAACCTTGCTCTTTGGCATGTTGAGGCAACGAGGAAATTATAGCTGTATAATACATACAAGCAGTCCCAAGGGAACGTAAGACAGTGGCCCTCTAGGTTTGGGTGGTGGGTGGGAAGAGTGTGTTCAATCTATCTTGAAAACAGTTTGTTGGTTTCACTACCAAGTTGCTTGTTCTTCTCTTAGGAAGACAAAAAACTCACCTCAGCCTTAGAGATGGTTCTTCAATTCCCCATTCTTCCCAGCTTATGATTAATGTACATCTACAGCAGGTTGTAGGGGAAGTGCACAGCAGGGTCAATGGCAGTGCACTCATGTGGAAGACCAAGGACTTCACCTCCCCTCTTCGTGTACACATGCACAAATTTAAAAAGCAACTAACTATATTGTAGTGAAAACTGTTTCCTTCACAACAGTAGTGAAAGCCGCTCTTTAAGGATATCTGTTACGCCATGACCAAACCTGAAGTTGCTTGCCTGCATGTTGATAAAGTCCCATGCTGTAACAAATCAGAGCTGTGAAGTGTTTTTGGAGGGCACTTCCAATGGTATTTAATTTGTAAACTTATTGGACATGCTGATAAATGAATTTATTATAAATTTGCAAGCCGGGGGTGGGAAGATATTTTGAAAATATTTTGGCAGTTGTCAGAAAAATCTGGACAAACAGTGAATTACTTTAAGTAACCTTTAAACTTCTGATTTTTCCAGTTCAATATACCAAGCAGCAGAGAGGGCACATTGTAGCTTGTTGCAAACTTTAAATTAAGGGTACTTTAAGACAGTGGGTCTCAACCTTTCCAGAATACTGTATCCCTTTCAAGAGTCTGATTTGTTTTGTTACCCCAAGTTTCACGTCACTTAAAAACGTACAAAATCAGACATAAAAATACAAGTGTCACAGCACACTATTACTGAAAAATTGCTTACTTTCTCATTCTTACCATATCAATATAATATAAAATAAATCAATTGGAATATAAATATTGTACTTACATTTCAGTGTATAGTATACAGAGCCATATAAGCAAATAATTGTCTGAAATTTTAGTTTGTACTGACTGCGCTACTGTTGTAAAACTAGACAAATATCTAGATGTGTTCATGTACCCCCCTGGAAGATCTCTGAGTACTCCCAGGGATATGTGTACCCCTGGTTGAGAATCACTGCTTTAAGAAACAGCCTCCTGCCTTATTAGGAATATAGTGAAAACACTGCAGATAGAGTACATCTTGAGATTGCACAGTTTTCCAAGGTTTTTTTTCCTTAATGATCAAAAGCTATGAATTCAATATTTAATTGAACTTTATCTACTTTCTTTCCATTTTTCTAAATCACTTCCTTAGAGCTTTGCCTCTGTTTATAAGCCATTCGGTTCTTTTTGGATTGTTCCAGTTTCTCAGTATTGCCCCTTGGACCACAAAATCCAAGTTGCTCCCTTTTTTTGGGCTTTATTTTAGGTGCTGGCTGTGTGTTCTCTGAAAACGACACCACCACAACATGGGTTTTGGTGAGGAGTTTTTTGTGATTGAGGGGGAAAAAGGTGTATGATGGGGTTAGCTTCTTGTCAGACTTGATACTCTTGCCTGGTACTGAAAGTTGAGTTCTATCAATGTCACTTTGGCACTAAATTATCACTTAATGTTGGAGATTACACGGGTAGTGTAGTCAGTGTGCATTTTATGGCCAACACATCTGGGATAAAATCTGCCCTTCATTAAATAGCCTATTTAACTATCACGCTGCGTGTTCCCATCCCCCCTCCAGATGTTACGTAATCCAGAAAACTGGCTAACTTACACTGAAAAGCATCTGGCATCTTGGGTTTAAGCACTGGGAAAAGTGTTCTGGTCAAATGATTTTTGTGGTAAAGTTAAGTTTCAGGTGTCCAGAGGAACTTTGAGGGCTGTTATATGGTATGACTAGTAACATGTCTGAGCTTGTTCCCATCCTTCCCTCAAAATCCCTAGTAATGTCTTATTGTATCTACATTAGAAATTTGTATGAAAATCCCTTCTGTGTATTGTGCATACATTGGAACTTTTATTGCTATTCTTGCATTAGGACAATTATTAGTCAGTGCTTAGGACAGGTAAAGCCATGTTATTTAGCCACAGGAAAATTCTTGCAGAATAAAGTTCATACAGTAAAATAATTTTTGGGTGAAGTGCAGTTATTCATGAGCACTGCTGAATTTTTTTAAAAATCATCAGTCTATCAGAAGGTTTCACTTTTGTTACAGGTAATTCAGGTTACTCTAAAAGTAAGAGACTAGAGGAAAATGGCATTTTTTTTCTTTATCTCTTTGTGTGGAGTCAGTTTCACTCTTCCCCTTGTGTAGTTAGTTTCCCCTTTTGTTTATGTGGATATCAGATTGCAACAGGGGAGAGAGAAATACTTGTTTAAATCGAAAAATGTGATTTGTAAAACCACAAAAATTGGCTAGGGGAGGGATTCAAGTGGCAGGTGTAGGACCTGAAACTACTCTTAATTTACTTTTAAAATGGACTAGATTTCAAATAGATGGTGTTCTTTAATTTTAAATACCTGCCTTAATACAACTAGATGTTGGGATTTCACAGTGAGTCCCTTTAATTTAGTATTTAAATAAAATAATAACTTACACCTGCAGTATTTATTGACATATTTACTTTTT